AACAAAGCAGAATCTACTTCTCACTGCCAACTGCAATGTGTTTGTATCCATAGATACAAGACAACAGAGAATCCCAGAATTCTACAGTGGGAAATCCTGGAACTTCAGAGATCATCTAGTCTCAGGTCAGGGGAATCCATTAGGGGATGAGGAACATGGTAGAGGTCAAGGGAAAGAGTCCCTGGTCCTTGTTCCATTCTGAATGACCTCATGGGGCCAACCTACCCAATATTCTCATTTTATAAGCAACAACACAGACCCAGGCCAATTAAAGGCAGAGCTGGGATCAGAGGCCAGGTTTCCTGATTCCCAGCCTACACTCCTGAAGGTCATCATTCTATGGTTATGACGGTCACAGATAACAACACATTAGGCTGTGTTAAACTGACAACTAAGCAGGTTATTTTCCTTGCAAACTCACCACGTACTATGTCAGCACTTTATGAAGAGTAAAGCATCATTATTTAGTGTACACAAAAGCAAATTTCCTGTTTTTTTTTTTTTTTTGTAACCTGAAAATCCCAAACCACTGTTGCGATTACAAAATTTTTCTTTACCCTAGTATGCACCCCTGGGCCAAGCACAGATGCATTAAAAATTTGCCAAGAGAAACAATGAAGTCACTGATAATACAAAGCATGAGAGTATCATGAAATTCATGTCTTTGTTTTCTTCCTCTTGATACTTAATTACTTCTCATTACTGATCATTTTGTGGTTGTTGGCAGAGGGGCAAGGAAACTCCACCACTGTAAACATGTAGAGACACATGCTCCGCAGTAGACCAGAAGTCTGCACACGATGGGTCTGTCCACAAATCCAATGTGAGCACCACTTCATTCATCAGTGAGAATGTTGATGCTACTACCCCCAGTCTCCAAAGAGAATTGGTGGTCTCAGTAAAACTCGAATTTCTTTAAAAGAATAACAAACACAGTGTAAAAATGTTTCAGGTCATTCCTTTTTTACCACTTATGAATATCATCACTAGCAAAGGACCTATGCTCTGCTGTCACATTTCATCTAAGCCACTTTAAGAGTGAGGTGAGGAGGGTAGAATGTGTACACAGAGCTCCATTCAGCCTTCTGTTGCAGCGCAGGGCCGCCTTAAGCTAAAAGGGCACTACTTATGAGCAATGTTTAACAAATTACGCTGCTAAATCAAAGCTTACATTATCTTAGTATTGTGAAGGGCATATCCTGGATTAAGTTGATTTGAGGGCAGAGAAATTCTCATTGATTACCAGCAGGATACAAGTTGATTCTTATCAGTAGTTCCCTACAGGACTATATGCGCAAGAGGAAAGCAGAGGAATTCTTCATGTAAAATGAAGAAACAAAAACCAAACCCTATGTACTTCCAGGAAATGAAAAGAAGTAAAGAACCAAATATATTTCACTCCTCTTCTGAACTAGACTTTTATTAGATTTTCACAGAAATCTGGATCTGTGGGTGTGGTGAACTTTTTCAAAGATGGTGGCAGTAAACTCCTTACATTTCTTTGCAATGCGGTCTTGTACCTTCTTCCAGGTAGAGGTGGAATCTATTTCCTCGATCTTGAATCTGGGCTGACATTGTGACCTTCTTTCACAAATGAGATGTTGGGGTTTCGACTCTCAAGTTCTTGGAATGTTGTCCTGAGACCACCATGTGGGGAAGCCCGGTCTAGCTTCTTGTAAGATGAGAGTCCACATACAGCAGAGATTAGATGACCCAGCTGAGGCTCTCCTAGCCCAACTAACCACAGCCAGATACGTGAGAGCCCATCTTAGACCATTCAGGCTCAGAATAGCTGTGAGAAGCTGAAGCTGTGGAGTAACCTATAGAATTCTGAGTCATTGTTTAACCTCCATCCAAGATTTGGGGTGGTTTCTTAAACACTAACATACACCTGAGACAGTTGGGCACAAAACAAAAGGGGCAAATCAGGTCAGATACACCATGGCAGACACGAATGAAGAATAAATTTGTCTTAAAAATATAAGACAAAAGACATAACGGCTCTGTTATTCATGTGTGAACATATCTATAAATAAAGCAGAATATAATATTTACCTATACTGAATATATTTATGTACCAACCTTCCACTATTTCTATAGCCCAGAGTAAGGATATTCCTAGGTGTTCAAGAAAACGCAATGGGGTTGGGGAAATATAATTAGAAATGGTATTTATGTATAATTTTTCAATGTTTTCTTTTTAGAGTATGTTTTTCTAAGGTGCATAATATATTGTGGTAGTACATGAATATTTTTATAAATAAATAAATATACGCACAATGAGGTTTTTCTCAAACTTATCTCTTACACATCCCCAACTTCCTATTCCCACACAAAAATATACCTTCTTCTATGCCTTTGCTTTTCTCAGATAAATGGACCCTTCTCTGGCTACCTAGGGAAGAACCAGTGACAAGTACTACCGCACATCACTGGTCATCCGTGCTGTATTTGTAAGTGGCCTCTTCAGTAAGGCCGTCGTCATTTTTCAGACAAGGTGTTTGCACCAGAATTTATATGCATTTGTCTCAGGCAATATAGCATAATGGCATTATGGCATGATTTTTAAGAGTGTGGGTCCCTCAGCTAGGTTTCCTAAACTCAAATCCCAGTTTTGCCACTTATGAGCGGTGCAACCTTCAATAAGTTCCCCGTGACTCCATTTGTTCGCTATAAATGGAGATAATAATATTCCCTGCCTCACAGTGTTGTTATGAGACCTGAAGGAGCTAGCATATGGAAAATGCTGAGAAGAATGCTTAGCACGCATAGTAAGTGCTCCCTCACTTCACAGATCCGGTCACTGGGCGTAAAGAGGGTCAATGTCTTTTTTTTTTTTTTTGAGACAGAGTCTCACTTTGTCACCCAGGCCGGAGTTCAGGGTGCCATGTTGGCTCACTGCAACCTCCACCTCCTGCATTCAAGCGATTCCCGGGTCTCAGCCTCCCAAGTAGCATGGATTACAGGCGGGTGCCATCACATGTGGCTACTTTTTTGTATTTTCAGTAGAGACAGGGTTTTGCCATGTTGGCCAGGATGGTCTTGAACTCCTGACCTCAGGTTATCCGCCCGCCCTTGGCCTCCCAAAGTGCTGGGATTACAGGCATGAGCCACTGCACCCAGCAGTGGGGTCAATGTCTTTTTTTTTTTTTTTTTTTTTGAGACGGAGTTTCACTCATGTTACCCAGGCTGGAGTGCAATGGCACAATCTTGGCTCACCACAACCTCCGCCTCCTGGGTTCAGGCAATTCTCCTGCCTCAGCCTCCTGAGTAGCTGGGATTACAGGCACGCACCACCATGCCCAGCTAATTTTTGTAGTTTTAGTAGAGACGGGGTTTCACCATGTTGACCAGGATGGTCTTGATCTCTTGACCTTGTGATCCACCCACCTCGGCCTCCCAAAGTGTTGGGATTACAGGCTTGAGCCACCGCGCCCGGCCTGGGGTCAATGTCTTAATTAAGTTGCACAGATAATTTCTGACAGAATTCTTATCACCTAACACAAGGGAAAAACATGTGCAAGAATGTTTGAAGTAGGATTTTTTCAAATACCGAAAAAAAAACCAGTATTTTAAAAACAGTAAAATTCTGTTCCTGGGTTTTTGGCACCAAAAATAAAATAAACAAACAAACAAATAAATAAATAAATAAAAATGGTAAAATGAATCTCAAAAATCTAGGATGAAAAAGCAAGTTTTAGAAAGATACATTCAATATGCTATTTATATAAGGTTTGAAAACATGCAATACTATACATTGTTCAGCAATAAATATACATGTTTTTAAACATATAAAACATGCAGGGGGATGAGAAATACCAAATTCAAGATTATGTGGATCTGGAGTAGGAAGGGAGGAGAATGGATTTCAGAAGAGATATATACATTATAATACATCTATAATATAGTACCTAAAAGTTGTCTTCTAATATATAGTAAATTTTTAAAATTTTATAAATTTGTGTGGTAGCATGTAGCCATTTGTTATATTTTCTATACTTTTCTGGACACTTGAGTTTTTCAGATTTTTAAAGAAATATTACAAACTAGAAGTAAGGTACTGGTGATGATGAAAGTTTCATGATTTGTAGGGACAAAGAGTAAAATTAATAATCTGCTTACATGCCACTGGAGTCAATTATAAGTTCAATTGATATTTTCTCTTCTAGTTAGAAACCTCAACAGTGGAAGAATTTTTCTTCCTATCATAAATTCATTTGGATGATTACATAATCAGATATGGAGCTTATGTGTCCTTTAAATATTAATTTATTTTATATTGTTTCCATATTGGCCGACTACGTTAGGCAGCAGTATCCCTGCTTTGAAGATGAGGGTCCTAAATATAAGCCCTTGACTTACCCAAGGAAAGATCTAGAATTTTAGAAGAATGTCAGGAATACAGGAATATAGCCAGGGACCAAGCCTTCATTCCTTTAATACTAGACTTGGCCTTCAAAACAAACTATCCCAGTAATTCTCTGGTAGTAATTCTGCCATTTCTGTCTTAATGCACTTTTAAAGGCTAACAAGTTGTAAAAACAAAACAAAAAACCCACAAAAACCCCCAACATTTTTTAAAGGAAATACTATAGAGTGAATCTGAAGAAAGTTAGAAGAAATAGCAGAGTCACCCTTTTACAATACTGTAATTATGCTAAGTACGTCTTAACCCAAGTAAGCACTTAGGCCATGGTTGGAGGTCTGACCTGGGTTCCTAAGGTGGAATGCTTGGCGGGTGAAGTTCAAACACAGCCTGTTTACCCATGGACATAAGTGGCCTTAATCAAAGCAGAACACATTTTTTAAAACGTTTACTTTAAAAGCAGAAGTGTAAATAAGACTGTGATTTATGAATGTGCTAACACCCTTCCCTGTGGCAGACATCAAAAAGACTGAGTTTGGGCTGTGGTGAATATAACAAGAATGCAGACTTGTTAAAACAGTAACAGGCAACTCCGTTTCCATTAAGTGTTACAAATTGTCTTCCCTCCTTCCAGGCTTTAAGGAATGCGTTCCAGAGGCAGTGACACCGAGGGCTCAGCCCCAAAGAAACTTCCAAGACACACTAAAGGCCACAGTTTCCAAGGGCCTAAAAACATGAAGCACAGACAGCAAGACAAAGACCCCCCCAGTGAGTCGGATGTAATACTTCCCTGTCCCAAGGCAGAGAAGCCGCACAGTGGTAATGGCCACCAAGCAGAAGACCTCTCAAGAGATGACCTGTTATTTCTCCTCAGCATTCTGGAGGGAGAACTGCAGGTTAGCTGGGTTGGAGTTATCCCTCTCATGCTTCAAATAAGGCTGCTTGTGAATTCGGTGTTCCTGCTGCCACAGAAATAGATTTCTGTGGTTCACACATGTGTGTACATAAAAGCAAAGCATAAGTATATATACACAGAATTCTCCTCTGCCAACTCAAAGTGCAAATAATCCCATGTAAAGGGGCTGTCATGATGACATGTGGCTGGCGTACAGGTTGGGAAAGGTCACATCCTCTACTGAGGCTGCTCAGGAGCTTCGGTGCACATACATGCATCAGTAGCAATAACACCAGATGACTTCAGGATTGGTTTAAACAACAACAGATGCTTTTGTACCCCATGTGAACTGGGTCCTAGACTTGTCCTAGCATTATTAACCTACATGAAAATCTAAAAACAGCAGATACACCTATGGGAGAATTTTATTTCCTACCCTCTGAAAATCCAAATGCTAGTCCATTGATGGGTATCATGCTATCTGCTTCTCAAACACAATTAAAAATGTGGTCCTCCAATGTTGTATACTAATCACTTTTTAAAACATTAATTGTGCAATTAGACTATAAGAAGGATGAAGAGATATAGTTTTGATATCTTTTACAAAAGTGTGAAAATGAAACATGATTCATTTATATTTCAAAGAGAAGAAAAAGCACTGCCAGCTATCATGAAAATCACTTGCTGAGGCCGCTGGTAAAGACAGCAGGCTTTCTGAAATACTTTTTGTTCCTACAGGCTCGAGATGAGGTCATAGGCATTTTAAAGGCTGAAAAAATGGACCTGGCTTTGCTGGAAGCTCAGTATGGGTTTGTCACTCCAAAAAAGGTGTTAGAGGCTCTCCAGAGAGATGCTTTTCAAGCGAAATCTGCCCCTTGGCAGGAGGATATCTATGAGAAACCAATGAATGAGGTATGTACCACATCACGGGTGTGTACCTACGAGGCAGCCAAGCACAAGCCCTGCAGATGAGCATGATCTGTAACTCCTCTTTGATTCCTTACAGTTTTACTTTCTAATGCACTTAAAGTTGACACAAAATAAATACAAGTTCTACAGGAAAGTTAAAAAGAATGAACCACAGACAGGATGTGTCCACTAAGGTGCGTTTCTTGACATAAGCTAGAATGTACCAAATGCCAGAGAATGCTCCCTCCCTTTCACGTGCATGTGCAGGCACACACACACACACACGCACACGCACACACATGCACACACACATACACACATATACACACGCACGCACGCACACACACACACACACATATACACATGTGCCTATACACAGACACACACACACACACTCTGGGGACTTGCAGGTTACCCAGGCTGTACTAAAAACAGATAAAGTTCAACCATAGAGGTTAATTTCTTTGAAAAAGCTGAGGTATTATGTCACAGAAATGTTGAGCATGAATGGAAATAATCTGAAGAACTGTCCAAGAAATAGAGGTTTTAAAAACATATATTTTAGATGACTGCATATGCTCTTTTTCCTTCAAAAGTTTAATAACAGCAAAGACCTTTCCCCCATCAAGTGTGCCTAGGAATTACAAAGGCAAAGGTGGGTAGTCCCAACAGGGCCACCACTGCAGAAAGGGCAGTGCTGCTTGCTCTCTTACTTGCTGACATTTCTGAAACCCTTTGGCATTCTTATTTTATTCTTCTATTTTCCTCTGAGACCTTCATGGAAAATTTCAAAATTTTTCATTTTTATAGAAAAGAAATGGCTAAGAACATGAGTTGAGGATGGAGAGTGAAAGCAAGTTTCGGGCAAATTTCCCTCACATAAACTCTGGCAACCTACCTCAGGACTGACCTCTAATGTCCTTGCTATTCTTGTCTTTGGTGTCTCATGAGAGAAGACTATTGTCTTGCCAAATAATGAAGGAGTTCGGTCATATGGATCTGCTTCTCTAAGGGGTGAAGTTGAGACCACCCAAAGTCTGTTGACTTGCTCTTTAATCCAAATTTTAAACAAAAGGAACCAGGGCTGCATTCAAGTCAATACTGTTAAAACTGTAACCTTGCTCCCAACGTATTAACTGTGAAACGGTGTCAGGCGCAAATTCCCCAACCCTTGTGAGCTCAAATGCAAATTAATGATCACTGAACATATCCCTAACAAAACTCTACAAATGGCATAACCCCTCAACACTTCAGTGTGAAATGAAACAGAATGATTCCAAACTTAAGTTGAAATCAGTGGGAAAACTTTAATTACAAAATAATTCTATTGTGCACATGCAAAACTGGAAATACCCACTTTGCGCAAATGCTTGCAATCCTAACTATGAAGTTCCCCATAATCTGGCCGTGTTTTACGTGTGCAGCCTTATTTGATCACAAGTTCCCCATAATCTGGCCGTGTTTTACGTGTGCAGCCTTATTTGATCACAAGTTCCCCATAATCTGGCCATGTTTTACGTGTGCAGCCTTATTTGATCACACCTCCAGCAGATTCCTCTACACACACACCTCTCACATTCCCGCATCCATAATTTGTCAATTTTCTGCTCTTTCTTCTACTTCCCCCTTACAGATTTCTCTCTCCTCAGCTCAGTTTATGCAATTCCTTGAAGCCAAAATAATTTTATGTACACAACCCAACTGTGTATCCTTTTCCTCGGTCTAGAAAGTAACAGGAAGAGGGGAATGCCCAGAAAATAAACAGTGAAGGGGAATTCTGACTAGGATTCTCTAGACAGGGCTGAAGAAAACAAAGGGAGAGAGGGCAGCACGCCCGCTGAGACCAGCTGTGACTGTACCCTAATCACGTCAGAATAAGTCTCTTGCATGCTAAAGTTATGCTTTTGCATTCTCCCGTCTCACAGTGTTAACAGCCCCTCCTCCCTTTTATTTTCCTCATAAACTTCTTCTTGAAAAATCTAAAAAATCTCAGTCATGTCTAGGGTAAACTAGAGGTGATTTATTTAATTCTTAAGGCAAAATAACTTAGAACAAACCGCTCTCAGTTGCATGACACGACAGGAACACTGACTTAAGATGAAAAACTAGTGGAAGCCTGTGGGATGGAACATGGCTGGGTCTGGGGACAGGAGCAGCGGTGTGGTCAAGAGGGAGGGAAGAGGCAAGGACTCAGTCCACAGCAGTTTCGCCCTCATATTGCTTTCCAGCCTGTGGTTCTATATCAGAACTTACCTTTAAAAAAAAAAAAAAAGTTGGCCAGGCTCGGTGGCTCATGCCTGTAATCCCAGCACTTTGGGAGGCCGAGGTGGGTGGATCACGAGGTCAAGAGGTCGAGACCATCCTGGTCAACATGGTGAAACCCCGTGTCTACTAAAAATACAAAAATTAGCTGGGCATGGTGGCGCGTGCCTGTAGTCCCAACTACTCGGGAGGCTGGGGCAGGAGAATTGCTTGAACCCAGGAGGTGGAGGTTGTGGTGAGCCGAGATCGTGCCACTGTACTCCAGCCTGGGTAACAAGAGCGAAACTCTGTCTCAAAAAAAAAAAAAAAAGTGAAAAGCCTAAGGTATTCTTAGTTCTTCCAAAATATATATTACAGACAATATAACAACATTTTGGATTTTTCAAGGTACTATAATAAAAATGTCTCAGTATGATTACCATAACCTAGGGCAAATCCTAAAATGCTTTAAGCAATGGTACAATTAAGCTTTTAAATTTCATTTTATTCATTTAGTTAGATAATATGTTTTAAAGAGCTAATGTATAGGAAAAGTTTTGGTGAAAGAGGAAGAAACTGTTTCCAGGTCCGGGCACTGAAAAAAGCAGTCTTGGAGCACTAGGGTGAGGTCTCAGAGCTGCCTGAAGTCCGGTGTGGCTGAAAGTTGGGTAGGATCGGTGGGAAGATATGGAGTGAAGATGGGGCTAAGGTGGCGGGAGGTTCGGATGGTGAAGGGCCTTTTGAGAGTGGAGTAATCCCATTGGTGAAAAGTCACGCTGTCAGTGGTGAGGACACACTGCAAGGAGGTGAGGCTGGAGGAAGGGAGACCACTTTAGGAGGTCATGGAATAAATGAAGGGCACTGATTCCCTCTAGCCTTCCTACCCATTCCCCACAAACAAACAACCACCAACATACAAGGTGGTATGGAATGCCACATACAATGTGGCATTCCATACATCCATACAATGGAAAGCAAGGGTGGATTAAATAAACCTTCCATTTCTTTGGGTTGAATAAAGTTTAATATGCATATCTTGACAATTACAAGCTCTCCAGGGAAATACTTTTTTTTTTTTTTTTTTGCATTTAGAAAAGCATCTTTTAGTAATTCATTTATGCTTTACTGAAAACCTACTATAATTATTCATGTCCTGATTCTAATGTCAATCTTTTGACAAATTAAATTGAATGTATTTTCTAGGTCAACTAATAACTACCTAAATTAAAGCTGACCCTATCACTATTTCACTCTCAAATTCCAAAAGCAGCTGATTTGAATTTTCCTTACAATACACTGTAATGATTGGGCAACTGAAGATAAAATTTTCAGAGGGCTACCGTGGTTTGAGACAAACTTCATGACAACCAACACTATGGCTTCCCTCTCAGAAGATGCCTCTGCCAGGAGGCAGTTCAATGTAGCAGTTTCAGCCTGCACAAAAGGACTGGCTACATTTATTAAAAATCATAACAATTGGCTGGGCATGGTGGCTCATGCCTGTCATCCAAGCACTTTGGAGGACAAGGTGGGTGGATCACCTGAGGTCGGGCGTTCAAGTCCAGCCTGACCAACATGGTGAAACCCCGTCTTAAAAAAAAAAAAATCATAACAATTGTATGGCATAATGAAGTATTTTGTGAATTTAAGCATTTAGAAGTCAGAGAGAATTTATTGGCTTCTATATGCTGGGACACCTCAATGGTGCTCTTTTTCTGAAATGACTTGGTCATTTTGTGTCTCAGGTTTATAGTCAAGTCATTGCTTTTTAGGATACACAACTTAAATTGGCTTTAAATTCACAGTGAGTCACAAATTTTAAATGTTTTATGACAAAGTCAAACTATAAAAACCAATCAATATTATCAGTTACTGCACCTGTATTTAATCTAAAAAGTCTGGTATTTTCAAAACCAAGCTCTTAATAGCTCTTAATTTATCACTAGCAAAAGACCCTGAGTTAGCTCTTTTCAACATGCTTTTCTGATGGCACCTTACCCTGTGCTAGGCAAAATGGAGCTCAAGCCGGGAGGTGATAAACCAGCCCAATAAGCCTGGCTGTCTAATTCCATCTGACCGTGATGCTTTCAGCCACTGGCATGTTCTTTACTGCCTGGTTCTTCGTTCATGAGGTCACCTCCACCTCCACCAAGTGCACCTGGGATATCTGCCAAGAGCTCCCCGTGTCTTTGGTGGTCTCACTCTTCCTAGGCTATGGAGGCCCGTCCTGCTGCTGTGGCTTAGCATCCATGGATAAGCTCCCAAGGGTACCAACTGGGCAGCTTCTCTGAATCACTACTTTTGTTAATCAATTTTTTTAAACTACTGCTGAAAGTGTCCCCACATGCTGCTCACAATAAAGGCAAATGTGTGAAGAAGAAAAAAAAAAAAGATCTCAGTCTCCCCCACTCCTTCCTTTATTTCTGGACTCTTTCCTTGCTTGTTTTATTTTCAATCAGTAAACTGGGCACCTATTATAAGCAAGGCACTCTGTTAGATGCCAAGAATTAAAAAAAAAAATAAAAAAAGGAAAAAGGCCCTGCTTTCAGGGAGTTCACAGTCCAGGAGGGGAGACACGTTTCTATCAGGCATACGTTGATCATTCTCGTGCTGTAAAAATCAGAAAGGACTTAGTGCTTACATTTGGTCACATTCACACTACACACCAACACATAATAGATTATCCATATATCTATTTTAATGGAAATAGCTTGATGTATAAAACATGAAAAACTTGAGCATGTACTGGTAGAGAGATCCAAGAGGCATATACTGGTAGAGAGAATTATAGGGTGGGCTGGGACAGAAGAGATCATCTAGAGCAGAGGCAAATCCAACACTGTGCAGGGATCCTCTTACTTCCCATCATTCCTTTAATGCAGCTTCTCAGGAGAGAGATGTTAACAGTGTCAGAAAGAGGTTATGTGGAAACTGTTGATACCCACAAGGGCACAGATTATTCTCTCTACAAAAATTTGATGACAATAAAAAGACTACATTTGTGTTGAAATGCACCCAAAAGTATCAATTAACAAGAGAATAAACACTAAACAAGGAGATTAAAAAAAAAAATTCCTGAATTCATCAAAACAGGAACATTTGTAAACAAGTGAAAGATGGCAGTATTATAAACAATTTGTTAACAGGCTATAAATGTGTTTTCTTTCATAGTTGGACAAAGTTGTGGAAAAACATAAAGAATCTCATAGACGAATCCTGGGACAGCTTTTAATGGTAGAAAAATCCCATAGGCAAACCATACTGCAGTTGGAGGAAGAAAAGAGAAAACATAAGGAATACATGGAGAAGAGTGATGAATTCATATGCTTACTAGAACAGGAATGTGAAAGGTAAGGCTGCTTTGGACAAAACAATGTCCCATTCTGCAACCTGTGGGCTGGCCACTGGACCAGGTGTCAGGGATACAAAGATGAGTATGACACAGTCTCTGTTCTCAAAGATCTCACAGTCCAGGGTGAGGAAAAGGATATGTTTAAAGACGTTATCAGTACAATGCGTGGATAACCAGATGTGATAAGGCCTGTGGAACCATAAATGTGGGGCCCGTAACTCTTCAAGGGAGTGCCCTGTAAAGGCTGCGAAGAGTAGGAAATAGGAGTCTAGTCCCCAGGCAAACAAGAACGCAAACTATATTCACGACAAGGGGTGAAATAAGTATGTTAGTCCAGAAGTGAGAAAAGAATCTGCATTCTGAGGGAACTGAAGCTTTTCACGTGGCTACAGCACAGGCCATGGCTGTAGGATGGGAAAAGGAAAGGCTCGCCTTGAGCAACTGGACTTTATACTATTGGCCTGAAGGAGCAAATGGAAAATTGTGAAAGAGAAAATGAGATGATCTATTACGCTTTCCTAATAAACGGTTAAGGGAAGGTGGAGGAACAGCTGGCGGAGCTTTAGGCTGGGTGGACGAAGCTCACATGGGGGGCAAATATCTAGATAAGAAAGATGGGGGAGATGTGTTCCAATGGCCATGAGGTTGGAGAGGAGGGGTGTACGCATGAACTACTTATGGTGTTTAGTCAGTATGAATTAGTGACTGCTGAACGGGAGAGCAGAGCAAGGGAAACAGGGAGTTACTGAGAAGCACTCTTGGCTATTCACCACCATATGCAATATGGGAATGGGGCACAGCTTTCTGTATTGTAGGATTTTGATCGGGCAGGATGGTTTATACTTGGTGAGTGGTAGATGAGTCCTGGTTTAGACATGCTGAGTATGAGGTACCTTGGTATATTTCAGTATCTGGCGAAAATAATAATATAGGGCCGGGCGCGGTGGCTCAAGCCTGTAATCCCAGCACTTTGGGAGGCCGAGGCGGGTGGATCACGAGGTCAAGAGATCGAGACCATCCTGGTCAACACGGTGAAACCCCGTCTCTACTAAAACTACAAAAAATTAGCTGGGCATGGTGGTGCATGCCTGTAATCCCAGCTACTCAGGAGGCTGAGGCAGGAGAATTGCCTGAACCCAGGAGGCGGAGGTTGCGGTGAGCCGAGATCGTGCCATTGCACTCCAGTCTGGGTAACAAGAGCGAAACTCCGTCCCAAAAAAAAAAAAAAAAAAAAGAAAATAATAATATATATAAAGTCAACCTATGGTTGGAAATGTAGGTCCGCAAAAGGATGGGCTGGTGTGTATCTGCTGCAGTGACAGCTGAAACTGCGTGTTTGGCGTGGTGAGAAGAGAGAATGTTGAAAGGGGAACTCTAGACTACATCAAGGCTTGGCAGTTTTCTGAAAGAAAAAGAGGTCAAAAATTGGAAGCTGAAAAAAAATGGTGGAAGCTTAGAAGAACCAGAAAACAAAGAAGGCAATGAAATGAAGCAAGCAAAGACTTTTAAAAAAGAGTGTACAGTCAAATAGCACCAAATAATGCAGAAAAGAATGAAATGTCCCAGGATTTGGCAATGAAGAAGATTCTGAGGAACTTAATGAGCCATTTCAATAAAGTGGTAAGGGCAGAAGCCAAATGGCAATGCTTTGAAAAACAAAATAAGAAATAAGAATGTAGGAGCTTAAAATGTGAACTAGTATTTTGAGAAGCTTAGCTTCAAAAAAGGAGAGTTTTGTTGGTAAGTATTTTCTAACCATACGTAGGGTAGATTATTTTATTCTACTTTGACCCTCTATTCTGAACCACCGTGGACAGTATAAGCACTCATATGAAATTTAAAGGACAATTAACCCCCTGAAAAGGGTTAATACTGACGAGATGGAAAGTAACCGATCTTGGCAATGTCTCACTTTTGTTATTGCCATGTGTACTTTTATGAGTTACAGAGCTAGTGATGCTACATTCTAACAGTCATAGAAAAAATGCAGAAAAAAATAATTACCTGTGAGCTCTCCTTTCCAAAATACTAGTAATTTCAACTGGCTTATTCAACTACTTCCAATTCATACTTCAGCTAGGTAACTTAAATTAGTTACTTCAATATCTAGGCTAATAGCAAACTCTCATTTCTTTTCCATACACTTTATGGGTGATACTTGTTTGGAATGCCAGAGAATCCATGGCACTTATATTCACTCAGGTTTTTCCAGGAGGTTCATTTTTCACTACATGGCAGAGAGGGGGCAGAAGAAAGGTCTTACTAACTTGCTCCTCACGAACTCTGAAATATCTGCAGGGGCAGATTAAAGGAGCACAAGAAATCTGGCACCAAAGGAAGATTGGACTCAGACATTACAATATAAGATTTGTTATTCAATGAGACAATCTTATATTAAACATTATTTTGAACCCCTGTGGTTTGGCGCTAGTGGCCTCATTTGGCTTCCATACTTACTTGGCACTAACTTGCTGAACACGGACACTTTCTTTCATCTTTCATTATTATGAACATTTACTGACCACGGTCAGAGTGTTGCCTGCCATAGATCAAAGAGGTGCAGGCTGTCCCTGCCCGGGGGGCTTACCACATTAATAAAAAGGCAAGATGATACAGATTTATGATGGGAATGTGAAAGGCTATTGGAAGAGAGTTCTGATATTCACTGTGTATCTGTCCTATCTTCTGGTGGAAGGCTGGGGAGGGCTATCCTGAAGTTACTCTGGAATATTGGGAGGCAGATGGCAAAGATTATATAAATCAAGAGAGCAAGGAGGAGCAACACTGAGAAATGGGAACAAAAGATCAGTGAGAATAAAGGCCATGGGCTGGAGGAAAAGAAAAAGTGTGGAAAAAAATGTAAAGTGTATACCACTAAATCAATGTATCAAGAATAGTATTTCTAAATATACAAAATGAATTTAAGAGAAAGAATGTAAGAGATCTTTATTTCAGCTTTATAGGATACAAAATTTCCTTTATAGGATTTTTTGCCTTGAAGAATAATTTTTTTTTTTTTTTTTTTTTTTTGAGACGGAGTCTCGCTCTTGTTACCCAGGCTGGAGTGCAATGGCGCGATCTCGGCTCACCGCAACCTCCGCCTCCTGGGTTCAGGCAATTCTCCTGCCTCAGCCTCCTGAGTAGCTAGGATTACAGGCACGCGCCACCATGCCCAGCTAATGTTTTGTAGTTTTAGTAGAGACGGGGTTTCACCGTGTTGACCAGGATGGTCTCGATCTCTTGACCTCATGATCCACCCGCCTCGGCCTCCCAAAGTGCTGGGATTATAGGCTTGAGCCACCGTGCCCGGCCCGTCTTGAAGAATAATTAAAGTGAACATGCCATTAACAAGAAGTAGGAAAAAGTGTCTATCACTCCCTGTTTAGCCATTCCAGAGATATGAGAATATTCATCTCTTTCTATATGCCAAGAAACAGCTTCCAGATGGAGTTGTGTGAATGTGACAATATTAAACCTATTCTTAACTCACTTGATATGTAAGTGACTTCCCTTGCTTTGCCTGGACAACATTACAATTCCTGTATGTTGGTACTGCCCGCCCATTCGCGTCCACCCTTCCTGCTTTCCTGCCTCTTGCTGGGAGACTGCAGGCCTCATGAGGCATAACTGATTTCTGCTGTTTTAAGGCCATGTGCATCAAAGTGGTATTAAATGAATACCACCTAACAAAACAGGAAGTGGGGGAAATAATGACTTCAGGTAAGTACACTCAGAGGAGGTGCTTACACACAGGAGTGTGAAATACCCGTAGCGTGCCTTGATGGTATGGTAGCAAAACATACCATCACTGAATCCTTCCAACTTACTGACAGTGCTTTCTCTCAAGCACACAGCTGCCTTGCAGGAAAGTGCGACTAACTTATCCTAAAGGGTCAAAGAATAATGTTTACTTCCTTCCTCAAAGTGATGTAAACCACTCCCAAACTAGGAACCCTCCCAGCAGTGAAACAAAGATATCATAACCCAGTAAGAGGGAAGGTTGGGTGAAGACAGATACAAAGGACTATCTGGTTGAAGCTCTGAAATAAACACGGTAAAGGTTTAGTGCTCATATTTTAAGTTTTGGGTTGTATCTACCTGGAAATAAAACAAAAATTAAGAAATACATGATTGAGGTAGTTAATGAGACCTCAGAGGATGTAATAATGGATTTCAAATTAAGGCTCAATTTCTGTGTTTTCTTTGGAGGATTTGTTTTATGTGGAAAACCCTAAAGGAGACTGATGTCACACATTGAGTTCAGGCCAAAATGTTTGCCAAGTGATGTCGCTGTCGTAATCAGTAAGCAATTGGCTTTCCCACTGAGGGCGGGTGGGGGCAGGGATCAGCTCAGGAAAGCCTGTTCCCAAGCACTTTAATGCAAAGCTTCCTTAGCTGTAATCTGTACGGTTTGGTCTGTCCATATGGTAATAGTCTATCCACGTTTCATGACGACCTTCTATTCACTGACCAGCTCCAACATGTGGATACGTGTGTCACCAATGACCTGAATTATGTACTTGGCTGAATTACAAGTGGAGTCTATGTAAAAGGTTTTTTACACAAAAGCAATGCCAATAATTTTTGGCCTTTCTGTATGGCTTCACAGGAAAGCCAAAACAAAAGTCACTTTTAGTCAGTGTAATTTTGTAAAATTTTCCCATAAGTGAAATGCCAATTTTATCTGTACTTTCAAAAAACCTTGCATATTTTTTTTTCTTTTTCAGTTTCAATGGAGGAAAAGGCTCTGAAGGGGAAAAAAAAGTTGCTTTTTTTTTTTTTTGAAACCATGCATTCTTTCTTAGGATACTAAAACAAATTATGTATGCTAACATCATATGTTACCGCATTTCTGGTCTTGAAATAACAACTCAACAAGGAAACAAATATTGTTATGGCAACTCTGTATAACACTGTGGGTTCAACCATGGATTTTGTCAAAGCCTTAAATTACTTTTCATAAAATCTTGGCCAAGTAGGTTAGCACTGACAATTCAT